TAAAGTAGATTCAAGTTCATCATAAACTAATTTGTCAATATGATCTACTTCTTGTACATCATTATCATCTCCAAGTTGCTTGCAAATGTTGAAAATATTCATCTCCAATGTCATGTTTCCAAATGATAGCTTCATCAGTCCATTCCTACAATTAATCAATGCATTAGAAGTTGCAAGAAATGGACGTCCTAAAATAACAGGAAATGAATTACATGCTTCAACAGGTTCTGTGTCCAAGACAATAAAATCCACAGGATAAATGAATTTATCGACTTGTACTAACACATCTTCAATTATTCCTCTAGGCACTTTTATAGATCTATCGATCGCAAATGCCTCCTTTTATAGGCCAAAATTGGGAACTATTGATTTGATGACTGGGTGATAAGTGGGTGACCAACTTTTGACTTGGTGACAATCCTTATCTTCTCTTGTCTGCCCAAAACGTCATTGATAACGTCAAAATTGGAGCCAGTTGCAAACATGAAAGTTGTAGGCAATTGTCTCAGCTTTCTTGTGTAAAACATTCAGCTCATTTGGACTTCTAGAACTCCAGATATGGCCAAAATACCGAACAGTGCTCGGGCTGGAAGACAGATTCGGGCTTCTTTGTTGTTGCTACAATTTGGACTTGATAATGACCTTTTTAGATCTTGGGCTCCATATGAAAGTTGTAGGAATATGTCTGACCTTTCCATCCATATAAATTGGACCTAAATCTGAGATCTGTAGCTCCATATATGACCCAATTACCGAACAGTGTTCCGGTTTGGATTGCACCGACATCTCTTTTCTAAGTTTGGCCATCTCGTTATTCTTGTAATTTAAGTTCTTAAAGTCATCAATCAATCCTTTCATTTATGTGATAGGCCTGCATTTAAAATGAACATTTACCATAAATTAAAGGTATCTTATATTATTAGATAAATTATTATAAACATGCTTTAATTAAGGAGTTATTGATACTTCAAGTGCAAAATGATGATATAAAACTATGATAAAAATGCACTTTTAAGTACTAATCAATAATACTTCTTGAAATATTCAGATTTACAAACTCTCGCATTGTTATCACTTAATTCTACTCATATACTTATTTAACATATATTCTTAAACCTTAATTTTCACACACACACACTTTAATATATGATTGTGGGTTACATATTAGATTATTACATTATTTATGTTCTTTTGTTAAAGGTCACAACTAAGGGAAAGGGATTGTATATAATTAAAAAAAAAGAAAAAAAAATGATAATAATAAAAATGTAGATAAGTTTGGTTTCGTAGCCTCCCTAACCTAAGCAATTAAGCCCGAAGGGGGTGTTTTAACACCTAATACCCTAAAGTCAACTGACTTGGGAGCTATTGGCCCAACGCTTGCTATATGGGTTGAGGAGAAAAACTTAAGGGAATCAAACATTGCACTATCTACATGTTAGTATCTACATCCTGAGTTACTAAGCTCGTAGGGGTGTCTTAACACCTAACGCCCTAAGACCAACTGGTCTGGTAGTCATTAGCTGAAAGCTCGTGACATGGGTTAAAGATGCATGATGTTTTTAAATTATATGTATATATATTTTTAAAAAAAAAGAAGACAAAAATAATAATCCCAACCCAAGGAAGTTAACCTTAAACATTAGAACAAAAATTTTATTTTCGTCCAAGAAAAGCCCCACAATTATGTGTTGATACATTGAGCACAAAAGAAAAGTTTATTAATATCTTGTTAAGACGTATTGAGCAGATATATATATAAATGAGAGTTTGTTTATCTGGATAGATTAATGGAAGTTAAATGATGAATACCTTACTTTGTGGAATTTGCAAATTGCTTTTCTATTTTAATGCTTTAATTACTAGGGACTAGTAATAAGCTGGTTTGGGGGTGTGATTAGTACTTAAAAATGCATTTTTATCATGGTTTTATATCATCATTTTGCACTTGAAGTATCAATAACTCCTTAACTAAAACATGTTTTAGAAAAATATATCTAATAATATAAGATACCTTTAATTTATGGTAAATATTTATTTTAAATGCAGGCCTATCACATAAATGAAAGGATTGATTGATGACTTGAAGAACTTAAATTGCAAGGATAAAGAGATGGCCAAACTTAGAAAAGAGATGTCGGTGCAATCCAAACCGGAACACTGTTCGGTAATTGGGTCATATCTAGAGCTATATATCTCAGATTTAGGTCCAATTTATATGGATGGAAAGGTAAGACATAGGCCTACAACTTTCATATGGAGCGGGTCTACTTTATATGGATGGAAAGTTAAGACATAGGCCTATAACTTTCATATGGAGCCCAAGATCTAAAAAGGCCATTTTCAAGTCCAAATTATAGCAACAACAAAGAAGCCCGAATCTGTCCTCTAGCCTGAGTACTGTTCAGTATTTTTGCCATATCTGGAGTTCTAGAAGTCCAAATGAGCTGAAGTGTTTACACAAGACATCTGAGAAAATTGCCTACAACTTTCATGTTTCAAGTGGCTCCAATTTTGACGTTATCAATGATGTTTAGGGCAGACAAGAGAAGATAAGGATTGTCACCAAGTCAAGAGTTGGCCACCTACTTATCAATTAGTCATCAAATCAATAGTTCCCAATTTTAGCCTATAAAAGGAGGCATTTGCCATGCATTTAGGCATCTTGGTGTCCAGATCAAGATGATGTTGTTGCTTTCTCTCTTTGTATTTTTTGTAATGTTTATGCTTTGCTTTCATTAATATCAAGTTTATGCCTTTCATTTCCTTTCCTTTACTTTGTTAACTCTTATCTTATTTATGTTTCTATTTTGTTTATTTTTTTTTTCTTTCATTATGTCTAGCTAAATTTATTATATCAAGGTGAAAAGGTTACACTAATGGTGTAAGAATAAGTATAGTGTAAACTTAATATGGACTTTAATGTTTGATACTAACATGTTTTATATTTGTTATTTTGTTCACTCTTTAATACTTTGCTTGTTAAATGACTAATCTTGATTTATGTTGTATAACACTTGGTACAACAAATGCTTGACACTTTCATAGCCCATACTGTATGGTATAACCGGTACCTAAGCTATGAAAGGAACTTGATTTGTTGTTAACATAAGTTATAATCATGAATGCTTGACGAGATTTACAAGTATTAGCATTAATCGAATAAGATGACTAATGTAATCATGTTAATAATCGATAATCAGATTGGAACCTCCTTTATGTATGGTTTCCAATTAAATAATAAGAGTTTATACTATACTTGTTTGACATACCATTAGTGGAACCTCTAACCTTGACATTTGTTATTATCATTGTTTAATCCTTTCATTAATATTTCATATCAAAGTTCTCATCTTTTTCTTCTTTTTCTTCTTCTCTTTCTTTATTATTATTATTATTATTATTATTATTAGTACTACTACTACTACTACTACTATTAGTGTTGTTGTTGTTGTTATTGTTATTCTATTATTGTTATTTATAATTTGTACAATTAACCTCCTTGTGGTTCGACCCCGGTCTTATCGGGTTATGTATTACTTTGACACTCCTGCACTTGGGAGAAGACATCAATCTTTTAGTCGTGTCATCTCTTTTTGCACATTTATTTTTATCAACATGAATAATAATGAGTAGTTTATTCTTGATGTCATGAATCTTATGAAAAGGTATTCTTTGCATTTTGAGAGCATTGTTTATTGCTCTAGGTTGCTTGCTTGCTTGATTAGAAAGAACTTCTATAGGTATGTAACGTAGGCTGTAGTTTTTGGCTATGAAAGAAAAGGATTCATAAGGCTCAAAAAGTGTTTCAGGGCTTCAAAGACTGAGAATCACTATTAACAGTTTGACTATTAATGTTATTCATACTTTCTTTTGTCGCTCTTTGATTTGCTGCTTCTTTTTTTCTTTTTCATTGCTTTACTAGAGAGCATACTCACTTTATCGTGGTTATCACCTTTTCTTGTGATTTAGGCATGCCCCCTAGCATTTGAGTTTCTTGGGCTTTTTTTTTTTTTGCTTTCTCACAGCTTTATCATCTTTCTTGATCATTGAAATTTTACTTGCCCCCAGTGTGGGGTGTGATTCTAGTCGGGATTTTTTTTATGAAAGAAAAAATTATTTAGGCTCAAAAAGGGTTTGCAAGGGATGTACTTATTTTAGAACGTGAAAGGAATAACAAAAATGACCTTTCCTCATTTCAAGCGCAAGCAGCTATGATCAATAAACTTTGACCTCGTATAATGTGATGGTTTATTCTTTGCAAAGATACATTTCATGAGTTATGAGCAACAAGTTCACTACATACCATTATTAATACATTTAAAAAAACATGATTCAAGAGTAACGAGGTAAGGGTTTTTTTTTTAATTTTTTTTATAATTTAGTCACCTAAATAATGGAGTTGCTTGATTCACTCGTCATTCTACAAGTAGAATGTCAAAAATATCGTTTTTGGATAAATATCAAATTACTTTTTGAGATCAAAATGCTAGATCAATTTTTCAAAACTCTAATAGGGAAACTGAAAAGGTAATGAATTGAATATATGAGATCATGCAAGGCTTCAAGATTGTATTTACTGATTCTTTGATATCAATAAACATTTATAAGAGAGAGCAAAGACATGCAAAGTGAATTTCTTGGCAAAACTTTTATTGATTTGATGAGAACTTATACAATCATGGATAATATTTCTTCACAGAATTGGAATTCACTGGCCTACTCCAATCTTCTCCATCCATTCTTGTCAGTATCAATGCTCCTCCAGAAAATGCCTTCTTTACTACATAGGGACCTTCATAATTGGGTGCCCACTTGCTATGATTTTCACTAGGTAGTAATAGGATTTTTCTCAATACAAGATCTCCTACTTCAAACTCTCTTGGTCGAACTTTTTTGTCACATGCTCTTGCTACCCTGCTTTGATACAGTTGGTGGTGACAAATTGCAGCTAATCTCTTTTCACTTATCATATTTAGCTGTTCATATCATATCTTTGCCTATTTAGCCTCTTCTAGCTCAGATTCCATGAGGACCCTTAGAGAAGGAATTTCTACTTCCAAAGGTATCACTACCTCCATTCCGTAAACTAATGAATAAGGTGTAGCCCCAATGGATGTCCTTATTGTTGTTCGATATGCATGTAGACCACAAGGAAGACATTCCTGCCAATCTTTATATGTAACCACAATTTTCTGGACAATCTTCTTTATGTTCTTGTCTGCAACTTCAACAACACCATTCATCTTTGGTTGGTAAGGGGATGAATTGGAATGCTTGATTTTCCATTTAGTGCATAATTCCACGATCATCTTCCAATTGAAGTTCTTGGCGTTATCGGTTTTTATCTTTTCTGGCAAACCATACCTATAAATTAAGTCTCTCTCAATGAAACGCTTGACCACTTTCTGCGTCACATAAGCATATGAACAGGCCTCCACCCACTTTGTAAAATAATCAATTGCGACCAAGATAAATTGATGACCATTGCTAGCTTTTGGATTAATAGGCCCAATCACATCTATCCCCCACATTGCAAATGGCCAAGGTGACACCATATTGAAAAGGGCAATGGAGGCGCATTAATTTTGTCACTATACACCTGACATTTATGACATCTTCAGACAAATTCTATACAATCCTTCTCCATAGTCATCCAAAAATACCTAGCTCTTTGCATTTGTCTCGCCATCATGTGTCCATTTACATGGGTGGTGCAAATTCCTCTGTGTACTTCGTACAAAGCTTTATTGGCTTCTGATCTATCTAGGCATCTTAATAAAGTCCCATCAAATGCCCTTTTGTACAAGATTTCTCCATCTAGAAAGTATTCCATTGCCATTTTCTCAATGTCTTCTTATCTGTCTTTGAAGCTTCAGAAGGATATTCCCGATATTGGATGAATCTTTTTATATTTGTATACCAAGGATTGCTATCAATTTCTTCTTCTATTAAATAACAATGAGTAGGAGAACTTCTGATATCAATGCCTATAGGATGTACTCTGATACCACAATCGATTGTGGCCATAGAGGCCAGGGTTGCTAAAGCATCTGCAAACTGATTCTTATCCCTTCCTAAATGATTGAACTCTATCTCTTCAAAGTTTTTAGCCAACTTGGAGAGATATTCTTGATATGGTTTCAATTTCTCATCTTTTGTCTGTCATTCCCCCTTTGTCTGGCAGATTATCAACATGGAGTCTCCATATACCTCTAGTTTCCGTATCTTCAATTCCAATGCAGCTTCTAATCCATGAATGCAAGCCTCATATTCAGCCGTGTTGTTTGTGCAACTAAATTGCAGTTTAATGGAGATGGGATATTGTTTTCCTTCGGGAGAAATTATTACAGCACCAACTCCATTACCAGACACATTCACTGCACCATCAAAGTACATGGTCCTCCCTTCATTTTCTATTACTAGCACATCTTCATCAGGGAAGTCAAAATTTAATGGCTCATAGTCTTCAAGGGCGTTACCAGCTAAATGGTCTGCAATTGCACTTCCTTTCACGGATTTTCTTGTTTTGTAGATGATATCATATTCAGCCAACAACACTTGCCATCTGGCCAGCCTATTTGACATGTACGGTTTTTCAAAAATATATTTCAAAGGATCTATCTTTGAAATTAACCAAGTGGTATAATATAGCATATATTGTCGAAGTCTTTTCGCACTCCATACCAAAGCACAACACAACTTCTCAATCATACTGTAACGAGATTCACACTCAGTGAACTTTTTGCTAAGGTAGTAGATGGCTTGTTCTTTTCTTCCAGTCTCATCATGTTGGCCAAGCACATAACCCATTGCTGATTCAGTCACTGTTAAATACAAAATGAGAGGCTTTCCAGGCACAAGTGGTACCAATAATGGTGGGTTTTGCAGATATTGTTTGATCTTATCAAATGCTTTTTGATAGTCTTCATCCCATACTCCAGGGTTTTTCTTTCGAAGTAATCAAAAGATTGGTTCACAAATGACTGTAAGTTGTGAAATAAATCGAGCAATGTAATTTAAAAGCCCCAAAAAACCTCGAACTTCTTTCTCAGTTTTAGGAGTTGACATAGCTTGTATGGCCTTCACTTTGTCAGGGTCTACTTCTATGCCATTATTGCTTACCATAAATCCCAATAACTTCCCCGATTTCACCCTAAATGTGCATTTTGTAGGGTTCAACTTTAATTGATATTTTCTCAGCCTTTCAAATAATTTCTTCAGAGCTAGGATATGGTTTTCCTCATCTTTAGACTTAGCAATCATATCATCCACATATATCTCAATTTCTTTATGCATCATGTCATGAAACAGTGTCACCATTGCTCTTTGATAAGTTGCCCCAGCATTTTTCAGTCCAAATGGCATAACTTTATAGCAATATGTTCCCCACGGGGTGACAAATGTTGTTTTCTTCTTGTCTTACTCGACCATTTTAATCTGATTATACCCAGAGAAACCATCCATAAAAGAGTAAGTTGAACTCTTAGCGGCACTATCCACTAGCACATCTATATGGGGTAAAGGAAAATTATCCTTCGGGCTTGCCTTATTCAAGTCTCGGAAATCCACACATACCCTGATTTTGTTATCTTTCTTGGGTACTACTACGATATTGGACACCCATTGAGAATAATCGACTATTTCCAAGAATCCAGCATCCCACTGTTTCATTATTTCTTCTTTCACTTTGATTAGTATATCTGGCCTTGTCCTCCTCAACTTTTGCTTAACTGGCTTACAACCTTCTATCAAAGGTAGTTTATGTACCACAATATCAATATCTAGACCAGGCATATCAGCGTATGACCAGGCAAAAACATCAACATATTCTTGTAAAAGAGCAATCAGTTTACTTCTTTGGTCAGTAGAGACTAGCTTCCCTATCTTCAACTCTTGTTTATTATCCTCGGTGCCCACATTTATCAGTTCTAATTCTTCTTTTGCAGGCTTCCATATGCGGTCAGATTGTTCGACTAACCTTGCGAACTCATGGATATCCTTTTCACCAAACTCTTCCTCATCCATGGCAATTATATTTTCATCAAAGTTAAGCCAATTATCCACAGTGCAATGAGTTTGTGAGGTGTATGACAATCCGCTTTCAGATTTCCTGAAAGCGGAAAGTGTTTCGGTTATGAGTATATAGTTATGGAAAAGTAAATAAATGAACACAGAAAAAGAAAAACACGATTGAAAGAAAGTATGCATGATCTCATTGAAATTTAAAGGATAGAAAGGCTCAACCACAAAACCTTATTGCCAATCTCTTAAGCCATGATGATTTGGCAAGGCACAATTATTCAAACAATACAAATAACCAAAACAACAAACAAGTAAACAAACATTACTTTTTGAAAATAATTGGAACTTCATGAATTTCCCAATTTGCTAAATCTTCTCCCTCGGTCAGTTTCCTCACGAATTCTGATGAGCCATCTTCCAAAATGCCAATAGTCAGCTGGGGCAACTGGTCATGAGTACTATCTTCTTCCTTTAACTTTTGTTCACCGACTTTTTCAAGATAATTGATAGGAACACCATTGAATTCCTTTCTTAGTCCTCCCTCATAGTCTTCAGTTTTTATCACATATGCAGATCCTGGGAACGTTACATAGATTGGGGGGATCTCCATTCGATCTTCATCTGGTTCTCTCTTTTCAAACCGGGCCATTCTCTTTTCTCTTCTAATTTCAGCTGCTCTTTTGAAATCTGCTTTCCCAGGCTTAAACCCTAAGCCAAGCCTTTGATCCGCGCACTTCATTTTTATCACATTAACCCTCTCAGGCATTCTAGTAGTGTGGTCATATTGAAATGGCAGTCCATGCTTTAAGAAGTATTTAGCAGCCATTTTTGCTGCTTCGGAAATTTCTGGCTTTCTTCGTATTGTATTTTCTGGTACCCATTCAGCATTTACAACTTCAAATGCATGCAGATTTCCATCCTTACTTTCTTCAGTTTCTATGTAAAGGATCAACACATTTTTCATTATTGACAAAGTTTCCTTAGTCCTCACAGTCACCAAATTTCCATTGATTATAAACTTGACCCGTTGATGTAAAAAAGATGCGACAGCTCGGGCTGCATGGATCCAAGGTCTCCCAAGTAACATGCTATATGATGGATGAATGTCCATTACTTATAATGTGACTTGAAATGGTTGTGGGCCAATGATTAGTTCAACATCAATACTCCCAATGATTGGTCGAGGTGACCCATCATATGCCCTAACAGTCATGGTACTTGGCTTCATGTGAGAGGCATCAACTGGCATTTTATCAAGTACATGTCTTGGCAATACATTGAGAGCAGAACCATTCTCTATAAGCACCTTAGCGACCACATAATCCTTGCATTTTATCGTGATGTTCAATGGTTTATTATGACCAGTCCCTTCATGATCCAGCTCATCATCGGTAAAGTAGAGGTAGTTGGTGGCTTGAATCCTGCCCACCAAATGTTCTATGGAGTCTTGTGTGATATCCTGAGGAACATATGCTTCATTAAGAACCTTTTGAAGCGCATTCCTATGCAATTCTGAACTCAACATTAATGACAACAAAGAAATCCTAGTAGGTGTTTTCTTTAACTGATCAACCACACTATATTCGTTGTGCTTCATCAATTTTAGAAATTCATTAGCCTTTTCATCACTTACTGGCTTATTAACCTCATCTATCTTTGTCAATTCCACCATATCCTTTCCTTTGGCTTTTCTATGGTTTTCAAACTCTTCAGGAGTAAAACATCTCCCACTCCGAGTAAGTCCTCCTATTTCAGCATGGAAAACAGGGGCAGGATTTGTGTTGTGAAAGGAATAACCATAATTATAGGGTTGGGCATTAAAACTCCTGCTGACAATATTATTAGGCTTGGTTAGGATCATTTTTGGTGGACCCTTTTCGGTTGGTATGTATCTACAAACTTCCACTTTCTTGTTACAAGCAGTCATTGTTCCTACCAACTCATCTTCTTTGGGTTTCATTAATCTTAATACTCCCAACGTCATCATATTTTCTACCTTCAAATGAAACTCCTCGTATGAGTCGATATCATGCCCCAGCTGCTGATGATATTTACAATATTCATTCTCATTCCTTACAGCTTGTACTTTGACTGGTGTCTTTAAATAGTTTGTTTGCCTCAACATCCCATACAATCTATCCATAGTCACCCTTAAAGTTGATGTACTTCCCTTTCCTATCTCCAAATTATTAACTCCCCCACCTCCAGAAGCATGATTTGGTAGAGGGTTAGAATTCATATTTAGAGACTCATCAAAAGAAATCCACCCAGCTTTGATGAGCTGAAGGATTTTTCCTTTGAAAGCAATACATCCATCAATATTATGACCGACAGCACCAGCATGGTATTCACATTTTTTATCGGGTTTATACCAAAAGGGAAATGGTGGTTGTAAAGGTTTTAATGGAATAGGTGCTACCTGACCAATACTAAGCAATCTTTGGTGCATTTCAGTAAGAGATATGGGTAATGGTGGAAGTTGCACTTGATTTGTTGGAAAATTTCTTCTTAGGCGGTAGGCATTATTGGTTTAGTTGTTTATTGGGTTGTTTTGGGTGTTTGTAGGTGAAGAGAATTTTATATTGGATATAGAGGGGGTAGGTGGAATACTTTTGAAGCTGTAATTATCTTGGTAGGTTTTCTTCCCTCTATTTTCCCTTTCAACATTGTGAACTTCCATTTCTTTCCTCTTTCCAATAAAACCTCTTTTTTCAATAGGATCCACGATCCTACCTGTCCGAACAACTTGTTCGATCCTTTCAGCTATGACAACCAAATCAGAGAAATTTTATGTTGCACTACCTACCAAGTATTCAAAGTACGAGGCTTTGAAAGTGTTGGAAAATAAGCCAGTCATCTCCCTTTCTAATAATGGAGGACTTACTTGTGCGGCTAATTCACGCCACCTTTAGGCATATTCTCTTACAGACTCTTTACTGCCTTTTTCCATAGCTTACAGACTTGATCTATCTGGGGCAATGTCCATGTTAAAGTTATACTGTCTAATAAAAGCATCAACCAAGTCCTTCCATCCTTTAATCTTGGTATTATCCAAATGTATATACCAAGTAAGAGCAACATCACTTAAACTATCCTGAAAGAAATTGATCAATAATCTCTCATGATGGACTACTTCAGCCATCTTATTATAATATGCTTTAAGATGGGTGATTGGGCATTGAGTTCCGGTATATTTAACAAATTCTGGAACTCTGAATTTTCTGGCAATAACCACGTTAGGCACTAAACACATTTCAGCGGCCTTCATGGGATCATACAAACTATTCCCTTCTATCGCCTTCATTCTTTCTTCTAAGGCAGCTAGCTTTTCATGACCATTTTCCTCCATTATCTTGTTCCTTTGAGGTTCTTCTTATATCAACACAATATGGGGGATCCTCATTGGTTGTGCTGATTAAGTAGGTGCGAAAGGAGCAGCATGCTGAGGTTCGAATGGTGGAATAAAGGAAGGTGGAGGCTGAGGTGTACATGTTTGTTGAGGAGATGTTCCTTCCCCAGCTCTAGGTCTCAAAGCTTGCTCGAGCAAGCTAGTGAGGCTTGCCACATCCTCTTTCAGGCTTTCCAACTCTCTTTGGTGTTGCATTTCTAATTGAGTTCTCTCTTCATTTTTCATTTTCTTTTGTGAATGAGTATTATGGATACGTTTCAGTTAAGGACCTATATTTCACCTGTTATATGCAGAATATGACAATCTATAAGCAAATGTATGAGATGCATGAATGTGAATGTAATATATTAGATATAGATTCACGCTTTGTTGGTGACATATGGCCGTTATTCATTGGATATGTGGGTTGAGCTTGAACTTGATATCATTGCTGTAATGCCGAGGAGAGATCTCTTCAGCTTTTTGACATTTGGGCTTTCAGCCATATACACATGTTTTTTTTCTTTTTGAAAATGTGGGTCTAACCCCTTCATTACTTATTTAAAAGCTTACAATGAAAAATTAATCTAATCTATTACAAGAGAAAGAACACTGCCTTTAGTAGCTATTGCTCTTAAAAAAAAGATCGGTGTTATCCATGCTTCTTCGATATTTCATTATGTCTCCTCCTACTTGGCGGGCTTCCACTCGTAATAAATGGGCTTCTATAGCTGCTCTATCAATTTGATCTTGTAGTTCTCTTATCCTCTCAGTATGAATCAAGTTGTTTGTAGAAAAAAAGTTATTGACATTGTCCAATGTTTGATTATGCTGCTTTATCATTTTCTGGTTTTCCATAAGCTGTGCAGTCTTCAATTTTTCTTTTTCCAGCTTAGATCTCAATGCTTCTGCTTCAACCTTATGATCATTCAACTCTACTCTTTGCTCTTCATGTATTTTAGTCACATGTTTAGTGTTGACTATTTCAATCTCCGCTCTCCCCAATTGGTCTTTAAGTTTGACTATGTCCGCCCGACACACTTTTAATGCAGCTTGCGTCTTGATAACTGACTCTTCCTAATGCTTAGCTTTTGCCATATAATATGTCATTTTCTTATTAATTGTCTTCAATTCATCCTTTGCCTTTATCCAGTCTTGACCCATAGAGTCCTTTTCTTCTTCAACTGTTTTTCTCACAGCTCTTTCTTTGGCTAACTACTGCTCCAAGGACAATCATTTAAGCTCAGCTTGTAATAATTTTACTTGTTCTCTTAATCCTTCTTCACTATTCATTCTTTTCCTTCGAGTGCCCACAGATTCAGAAACTTCTACCATATAAAGACTCCTCTATTACGCCATTCGGGATACCTTTCACTAACCGTAGGATTCCTTACACCTATCTCCTTTTTAACTATCACCAAAGAACCCCAATCATGCTTAATGCTCTCCAGCATTTCATTATATGCGCCTTTGTAGACTCTAGTGAATTGAGCTAAACCAACTGTTCTTAGAATGCTTTGTATGTCCCCAAGTTGTCTTGCAACCAAAGCAGGTGCGTAACTAATATACCTAGTCACCCCAATCAAAGGTACCCAAGGCTTTTTCCCACAGCCCATTAGGTATGCTACATTTTTCATCCACGAAGCTCTCCAATTAAAATTGCTTTGCGGAATTCCTTGCAATTTTACCCTCCAATCATCTTCAGAAAAGTTTTCCCATTCACTTGATACAAATAACTCGAGTGGCTTTTGATCAAACCACCAAAAATTTCGGAATACTGGTGTCTCGGACTCTATATGGCTTACCATCCAAATGAACAACAATG